GCCGTGGGCAATAAGAGGTGTCGAGTTTACGATAGAAGCGGATTTAAGTTGAAAAGACAAGGCCCACTTAAAATCAAAGTAGGGCGCTCAGTGAGCTGCTATGCCGCTGAGGGCATGCTCTTCGCTGCGAAACCCGCATTGCCTCACACCCTAAGGGGGGGGGGGCTCGCCTTTTCACTGGGTATAATTTCCTCCTTCGACCTGCTGCCTTGTCCTGTAAAACTGCTTCAAGGGCGTGCCTATTGTAATGAGCAACTCACGGTCTAGTTGGTATACACAGGCCGAGGCAGGCAGTGCGTCCAGCGCTTGCCTTGAATCCCTGACACATGCCGGACACAAGCGCTCATTTCTGACACTGGAAAATATGCTCAGTGCCCGTATTCCCCTCGTAGAAATAACTTCAACCCATAAAAAATTGCGGTGTTCAAAATCAATCCGAGGCTTCAAATGGTTATTCCAAAATGCATAAAGACTTTAAAATCAAAATATTTTCTGGATCGTAACTAGGAATATGGCACCGATGCTTCGACTCCCTTGGGTTCTTAGACAGCATCGTACGCCTACAGAGGATTTTTCAAGGTTTGCTGCGACCACTCATATGGAGCCGTCCGACGCCCGTCGCATGGTGCCGTGCCTAGATGAGCCAGAGTACAAGGCAAATTGGACCGTGACCATGATCCATCCAAAAGGTACCACAGCAGTGTCGAATGGAATCGAGGACGGAAAACCGTAAGTGAGACTTTTTCAATTTTTTTTTCCATTATATTTGACCACGACTGCACCACTGCACGGGAGAGGGACAAGATCGATTCATCAGTACGTCCACCGTAATCCACGTTGCACTGGAGCGCACTGTTGAAAATTGGAGCACGCAATCGAACCGAAGCGTGGGTGCATAACCATAAGCCTGGAGCCGTTCCGCATTGTTCCGTGATTACCTCAGGGTAACCCTCAGCCTCCGCCTCGCCGCACAAAACGGACCGCTTACCGTTTGTGCGGCGAGGACGCTGCGCGCACCTCGCGAGGAGGAACATTCAACTGCAGCCACTCCTTTTTGCAACAGATTCGTTCCATGGCCCTACTCCAGCTTCCACTGCGAACGTGTACAGCTGACACCCATTTTTTCATCATGGCTCTGTCGTGAAGTGCGCAGAGAACACAACAAGTGGGCACTTCGGGAACCAGTCTCGTTTAACTTCGTATAAAACAAAACGAAAAACTGGCGCGCCCACCGCGGACCTGGATACGGGGGAACCAACTCAGTGTACAAAAGAATTGTTTCACTGGGAGAGGATGGACAGAAATCAGGGTGAAAATCGCTTGAGGAAACGACCGGCTGTCGAGGATTTCTTTCACGCTCTCCCACGCGGATGCTCACTCTCGCCACCGCGAGCCGTCTGTGCTCTCCGCGCATGCATTCACTCTCGACACTACTCTCGCACAGTAGAGAGCCATGGTCGAGGAAATTCCTCGACCGTTATTCACCCTGCTCCTCGACCGTTATTAACCCTGACAAAAATTACGGTAACATGAGCTCATTGCTTGCCAATTTGTACACGACAAGCGGCAGTGCGCATAAACGTAAGCTCTGGAAATCTGCACTACACTTCGCAGCTTCTCGATGGCAGTTTAAGCTTGATCGTAATAACT